GTAGCAATCCTTTTCAGCCAGTGTGTGCGTGCGAAATAGCGAAAGTGCAAAAAAGTCACAGGAGAAGAGTTACTAAAACACTCTATAAAAATATGACCACACCAAGTACTGCTGCAAGCCCCGCCCCAGCTGCCCCACCCACTTCTTCGCGCGGTCATATTTTTATAGAGTGTTTTAGTAACTCTTCTCCTGTGACTTTTTTGCACTTTCGCTATTTCGCACGCACACCCTTGCTGAAAAGGATTGCTACACTGACACAGGTGTGCGACTTTGCGCAGTTTTCAATCGATTTACTGCGAAGTCCGAGTTTTCATAATTCTTTCGACTTTCTTCTTTTTTCATTGCTTACAAAAGACTTATAGTTATAGATATGCTTCAATACACTGGTGCACTCAGCCCCGTTCCACCAACCACGCCCACTTTTACGCCGGGGGAACTGAGGCTCCCGCCACTTTCCACTATTTCAGTGGGAGTGTCGGCTTTATGCCTTATAGAGGTGATATTGATCAACACTATGGAGTTACTCTCTATTCACTCTGACAGCACTTTATGTTTTGAAAAAGTCTCAAAAAGCACACTCTGTATATAGCGAACCCTGGATTCTAACCTGGATCTACAACCTTCAAGATGGAGCCGTCTTCACGGTTTAAAAGTGTAAACTTATCGTGGGAAGCGGTTTGTAAGCTTGTCGCTCGAGCCCATCAGGTTCATGCTGGCCCTAGATTGTCTCTGTCGCCGCAATGCTGCCGTTGCATTCTCTTGCTCGTCGTGGCACCGACGCCTGCCGCTTTTTGCAGTCGATCTTGACCATCTTCTATTCGTCCATTGATCATGATCGACTTCAAGAGCGAGACCTAAATGAGGACGGTTCATTTTCTTCCGTTCTTGTAGAATGTCTAGCATCAACAACTCAATTTCCCTGCCTTGATTTGAGAGCTTTCTCAGGAAAGAGTATTAGTTTCGCAGTTCAGGATTACGTATGAGGAAAGCTGTAGTTCTTGTTCAGTACATCAACACTCGCTTATGAACTTTAATTCCTACAACGAATCCGCAGCGGATACACTTTCAGAGCTGGAAAACATTGTAAAGATTTTCATCGTATTCCCATGATTACCAATTAAGTATTTCGCAACCCTGCTTCCCTCAAAAACTTCAACGGACAAGTACGTGTGTGATCCGTTCAACACATGGATACTTGCCATTTTGTACCAATTTTATTGGATAATCTGCTCAATTTCAAGGTTAGAATGACATGCGCACGCGAGTTTTTGTCTCTGCAACCATTACTACACTTTGTTAATGTGTGTCAATGTTAGAAGCAGGCCATCGCGTTGTGATGATTTTATGCTAAATACGACTCCCCCCTCCAAAAGAGGTCTCGATAGCGAAGCAGATTAGCACCGAGAAAAATGAACGATCTGCGTATTCAAACGACGAAAAAAAAGGCGATGGTAATCAAGGATAGATGAACACTAAGAAAATGAGCCATAATAAACCATAAATAAATACAAAAATAATAAACTGTAAATGAAGCATAATAAGAAAAAAAAGAGAAAGGAAAATGCGGTAAAATGCAAGTGCCAGCGCTTGAATATTAACTGTTCGCGGCCAAGTCCAATGTTGCAGACAGAGTTAGAGCACGCTTTGTGCCAAGGCATTGGACGAGCTATTTCACGGCCCGGATTCAGTCTTAAGCCAAGTGCTCCGGAAGTGCCCTTCGATTGAACACCCATAACTTCTTTGAAAAAGGAACTTTTGAAGAAGAGAAAACAGTGCTGTAAAGCACTAGGTTGGCACCTGTTAAACAGATTTAAGCAATTCTGAAAAATTCCCTCTGAGGAGCTTTCCCCTTTGTTATCCCGTCGTTACATTTTGGGGTCACCTACGAGCTCTTACGTTTTAAGCAGCTATAACAATCTTCATACAAAGCCATTGGTAAAACAGTAAACGGCAACAAAAAGCCATTGGTAAAAAAGTCAGTGCCGGAATTTCGGAGGTTTCTACTTTATTACAGGACTTTGATTTCATTCCTAAGCCTGCTATTAGAAAA